TTTTTTTCGAGTCTCACTTTCGATAACTAATGAGGAATAGATTAGTATTAGATTCGAGAACCAGGCCATTCTCCAGCAAAACGGAAACTTTGTTATCCAATGTATTTTTCCTTCGCTTTGAATTCGAAATCCAGCCCATTATTGAATTGAAATTTTAATGAGAGAGTGAGAGTAATTGTCTTATATTTTCGTTCGAGAATGAGCTGTATTTCACTTCCTCTCTTGTTACTATGGTTTCCATTTTTTTTTCGACCCCATCTCGAGTGTATTTTCAATATACTCAGAACTTTGGAAAACTAAGGCTTTATGCCTTTCCGATAATTTGCCGAAGATGTACCATGCAAACTTCTATTCTCGATATAAAGATCATATAAATTAAATTCCATGCCACAATGCCTCCCATTCATGGAAATATGAAATACAGCACTCTCCCACAGATAAACCACCCAAGTAGCAATAAAATTAAAAACCACAGTGCAAATAAATTAACACGTCACTCATAGCTAGCGCTTTGTTCAACAATAACAAAAGCTTACTCGTATAATAACAAATAAGTTTAAATGACAATATTTCACGAAAGAATTCCATCGAGTTTTTTTTTTTTGGCTCATAGCAAAATGTCAAAAAAGCTACAGTGTTTTAATTAGTAGCTTAAAATATTTAACGACAACACTTGAACACTGCCAATGGCATTCGCGCTACAGCCGTCGGTCGGCCGAAAACACCCTCTACTTGCAGCTTGCCACACAACCGCATTGGATAGATACTCAATTAGTGTGGGAATTTGAAGTGAATGACGTTGGAATTTCGATGAGTCTGTGGTTACCGCTGGCTAGCTAGAGAATGAACTCGAATACATTCCAGCTCTGATAATGAGTAAACGAGCGATTGACATGCCAATCATATGTATGTACATAGCAGCATAAGCCATGTACAAGTGAGTGAGATACATACATACATAATTCGTACTTCACTCCATTAACCGTAATTGACAGCAAGCTGCGCTTATGAGCTACGACCGAGTGGACTTAGTGGTGGAGATTGCTAGTGCACACAATGCTTAAAGAATGGCAGTCAGAAATATTTTGACTGACTTTGTTGTTGATAGTTAGTGATAGCAACGTTGAGGCAGATTAGTACAAAATTCTTGACATATGTTTGGTATTGACACAAAGGTGGAGAGGGTATTGTATTGACTGGTAGCGTGGAGATGACAACTCAGTGGACAGTTTACTGACTTAGGATGCCTTTATATTCGGCAGGTATTTATTAGAAGATGTCACTCATTGTTTGTCATCCGCAAAGGAAGATATTTATTTTTAGCAGAATAATTTAATAGTATTCTACCTGATTTGCTAAGCTTCCATTTATGCATTTAATACTACGGTGTTTTCTGCAAAGTGGAAATTACATAGTTGAAAAGAGTGAGGTAAGTCAAAACATCAGTAACAAAAGCCCAAAACTCTTTTTGCGCCAGTACGCCACAATTTTATTTGCAGTGGTTTGAAATTTGAATTTCATGGTCAAACATCAAACTAAGATATATAAAAAATCATGTGTAAAACTTAGTTAAGGGTGCGCCTAATCTTAAGTAAACTGCACTCAAATTGACCTAGGAATATATTCTCGGAACATTTTAACCCACACTAGCCTACACTCGTATAGGTAATTTTAGGCCTTTCCGAAAATTCCCCTAAAAGCAAAATGATATAAAAAGTATGACGGAAAATGCGGCTGAATGGTTAAAGGTGCGTACTACCACTGCTTAGGACCTGGGTTCAATAACTGGTCCAGCCACATATAATCTAGAAGAAGGTTTTTCCTACGACGTGCACAGTGTTCTATTTTAGGAAGAAAGTAACGATAACAAATACCCCAAGAACGCTAAAAGTAGCGAAATAAATGTTATGGTATTTAAAGCTTTTAAGATGGGGAATTCGGGAAAAATAGTCTTCTTGGATAAAATAATTACCTTAATCTTGAAAATGTCATTTAAATGTATGTTTTAAATTTTTTCTCCTCAAACCAGTATGCCATGAACTTTTGAAAAATTTTAAACAGTTGTTGCATCAAGGAATCCATTTCCATGCTTGCAGGAACCGAAAAAACGTTTTTAAATATTTTTAACCGATTTCGAAAAAAGTAGAAAGTTTATCAATGCAGTGGACTATTTTTTTTGTTCTATGCTACCGGCGGTTTTTAAATCCCTTAAAAGCAGCTTTTAGATGAAATAGACAATTTTACTTTTGAAGGTCATTTTAAAGATCTGATGAACTAAAAATTACCTTCACCTCGAAACAGATCTTCAAAAGTAATGTTTTTTAATCTTTTTTTACCTGAAAATAGCATGCGAAGATTGGAGGAGAAGCTCGGCCAAACACTTTGCAAAATATTTTAGCACAAACTATTACACAGGACAACACTGATTTTGATGTAGCAAATGTTAACGAGTCTTTTATAGACTTTTTTGTGCTGATTACGAATACGAAAGTATACAGTTTCCATCAGCTCCAGATTTTGTGAAAAACGAAGTTTTAAGAAATTTCGTTTTGTGCAATATTTGAGAAGCTCTGTCCCTCGTACATCAATAAAAAAAATACTGGAAAATTGTGATATTAAAAAAATTAAGTGTGCCAGGGCCACACTGGAGAAGTGAAACTTACGCTACATATCTATTTTGTCTCATAACCAATATACACATGTATGTAGCTTAAAGTTATATTTTTTGTCTTTTTGCTGTTCATTCTAATTACATTTATGTTATTCTGTCTTCCATTATATTCATTTTTATCTCCATACTCTATCGATAACAAAAACGATAGTAACATCCACCAAAATATCGAAAACAAAACCGAAAAAAATTTCGATATCAATTCGATAAAAATATCGACAGCAAAAACGATAACAATATTGGTAGCAAAATCGATAAAAATATCGTTAACAAAATCGATAACCAAATCGATAACTATATCGATAACGAAATCGCTAAATACATCAACAACAAAATCGATAAATATGAGTGGTTTTACTCTTTAGAAAATAATTTATGCAATCTCACATACGCCGTTTTGCATTTTGTTGATAAGCTGTTTTGTACTTTAAACGACGATTTTTGTTGGCCTGTATTATTATTATAAATGGCAATCGACGACTAGATATTGAATGGAAAGTTTCGAAGTGGAGTCTTCTGCAAAGAACTCTCCACTTAACTTAAACTCAAAATTTTGCACCACTGTGCAAAGTGTCTTCTAGCATTTAGAAGACGATTTTAAAGAATTTGAGGGTTAGCTTTGTAAAAACTTAACAGCAAAAGTAACAAGCAAGTTCTCTTAGTACAAAATTTTTCTTCGACTATCTTTTTCGAAGCGCTACACTACGTTCTAAATTGTATTCGATAAACATCACATTCGTTTAATAAACGACCTAATGTAAACATCCTCCCTAGTGACAACTGAAATTAGCTACAAAAAAAGAGAATAAAAGCTCACCTCCCAAAGGGACAAGCTTGCGTTACTGTAAACCTGTATTAGTAACTACTTTGGCATTGTATTTAAAATGTATTAAATAATAAAACAAGTAAGAATAACTTAATACATATTTCATATTTTAATATTTACCGTTCATCCAAACGCATACTACTCCGGCTAATATCACTCCAAGCGGACATCGAACGTGGTCGCTGAAAGAAGGATTTCGAAGTGCGGCGTGCTGGTGGCAATTGTTGTGGTGGAAATCCGGGTGGCGGTGTGGGTGGTGTATCATTAATTTCGCCGTGAAAGTTGACATTACGCGCCGTACGTGGCGATGATGAGGACACCACCGACGGCATAGAGGAAGCATGATGATTATCATCGGTCATCTCAAGGGCGGTATAGCTCACTTGAAACTGGTGGCTCATGGCGTGTGCCTTGAATGTGTGTGTGTGCAGGTCTTGGCGCTCAGCACAACACTTAGCGCTATGTACTAAGCGTTTGGCACAAATATTTTTGGAAAAAGCAATCAGCAGCAGCCAGTTTGAATCCTAGTCTTTTGGCTGTGGTTTTTATGCAATGCAACGAAATTGCTTCAACATGGATTAGCGTTGGTGGGATGGCGATACTAAGCATTGGCTGTGGTTGTGTTAGTTGCCGCAGCTTGCTCCTTAGTTGAATTTATCAAATTTATTTATTTGTATGATATTTTTTTGAATGTTTGTTTATTTATTTATTTTTCTCTGTTGACAAAAGTTCACTAACGACGTTGCGTGGGATTATCGTCGGATTATGGTGAAATCGCTGGTAGCTGCGGCCATGCTCGGCGCGTGTGTGGTGGGGCTTAGATGTTTAAAGCTATGGCGTTGGTTTGGGGAGGAACTTAGGGATCAGGGTGGGATTGAAGAGGGAAAATAAGTAGCTCTATTTATTTAGCACTCAACTCAGTTCGCTTTACTATCTGGTGCTATATATACTTTACTTTTTATGTCGATATCGTTAGCACGTCCAGGCGTATGAGCAACACGACCGCGCGTCTGCTTTAACTTTTCATATATTTGATATGTTTCCACAGTTGAGCACTTTTAACTCACGCTTTACATTTTAATTTGTTTTTAAGTACAATTTTTTTTTTGAATTTGTGCGGCCTCTTTTAAATTTGGTTGTTAAACTCTCCTCGGTACGGCGATTGAAAAAATTCGAGCGCACACTTCATTGCCCCAGTGATGAGTTGCGGCTGGTTATTGGAGTCTTAGTGAGCTTAACAACATTTTATTGCCCGTAATTTGACTTCACAAAAAGAAAAAAAAAATACTTATTTCTTGCTTTTTCAAATTGGCGCAGCTTGGTTTATTTTCTGTCATTTTTCCTTTATCTCTCACTGGTCCAGCGACAAGCGCTTGGTTTCACAAATAATTATACAAGCACATATTTACTCATCTAGCTGTTTTACTTATTTACAAATACTTTGCATTCACTGTTATATTTTTCCCCCGCTTCTTTGTTCGCTTTTCTGCTGATTGTATGTAAATAAAAATAGTTAAATTTCATTGCAACATTTCAACCAACTGCGACTCAGTTGCACTGCTGGCTGACAGCGATAATGCGCGTTTTTTTCTTTTTCTTTTTGTTTGCTTTGCACACTACAGCCATGACACTGTGTGCTTAAGTGTACTCCTCCCCCCTTTTACAAAATTCAACACACTTCATATTACCCGCTCTATTTGCACTCTTCTACGCTGCAACTTTATTTTATAGATTTTTTTTACCCCAACTTTTATGTACACCCGTCACACCACATGCGGTCCACTTGCCACAATCGTTTACTGACAAGTGTCCGTTATTGTTCCGTTGGAAAGTTATTGCTGCGCACTTGCAACAACTATTGCACCTAAATATTTGCACTGACCTCGTCGTACACCCCATGCATCAGTGCAGTTACTCTTACTCCTAGATACAGTTCAGCGCAACTGTCGCAACTTTTTTTTATTATTATTATGCTACTTTGCTAGCGTTTATAAGTAGAAACATACATATGTACATATAAGCAAACAAATTTATTTATTGTATGTATGTCTCAAGTTTATACTGTGCACAACATATTTGTACATACATATGTATAAATATATTAGCAATAAAATACAAATTCATACTCAAATGCACATACATACATGTATGAAAGAATATGCATCCACATGCACAATGCAATTTTTTTCCTGCACATTCTGTCGCAACAAATACTCGTGTGTACATATGTATTCTCGAGACCCATTCACTTAAATTTTTATTTACTTTGATTAAATGCTGATATATTTTGATGACCAACTCATACAGCGATATTTGATTGCAGACACTAGCGGGTTGGAAATAGAATCGAATAAAACCCTCTACTTACACACATAGTATGTTCGGTTAAGATATGAGAAGTGTTCAATCCAAAGATCATATTTCCACAAGAGATTATTTTGCAGAAACGAAAAGTTATTAAAAAAAAATAAAATTTTCGAATTTGTCTTAATTCTATTGTATAGTCTGAAGATGTTGAAAATAAGGTCATGTTTTTATGCAAAACGACGGAAATATAAAAGTTTGATACGGCAAACCAATTTTGATAATTTTTTTTTTAATGTTTTTAAAGATAATAGGTGGTTTTTCACCTGCAGCTTCTCCTGCAGGTAATATTGGAAGTAAAAAATATCAAATTAAAAAAATTTACATATTTTCATCTTCTGTATTTAAAGTACCCGTTTGAGTACGGAATACCCAAATACTAAATATTTGGAGATGCCTAACCCTTAACACACCTCAGTTCACCTCACACCACCCCAACTCGGCTAATTTAAACTCACCTGAACTCACTTCATCTCAGCTCAACCAAGCAAATCGTAGATAAATTTTCAGCTTCATTGCGAATGTCGTGTGCAAGTCGTTTTTCGAGAGTCATACCGAAAATTGCTGGCATTGCTTAAACTTTCGACTCGACTAGTGTACTAAAACGAGAAAACTTCACAGCACTACATAGTTTTCGACGAATTTCGTCATCTAATTATTTCAGCACGACAGTTGGCAATGCCATTGTTGTCTGCTCGTGTAATTTCGTCTAATTTACGACTTATGCAATGAAACTGCTTATTTTCGGAAATCCCGAAATAGTTCCGAAAAAGTCTGTAAAATACCGGGATAGTTCTGAAAATACCAATATATTTAGTCATGAAAATCACAAATTGTTGCAAGAACCCCGATAACCCTGAAGTAGTCTCGCAAAATAAACCCAAAATTCTAAAAGCAATCCAAAAAATCCAGACGTCAACGGAACAAATGCATGCAATTCAAAGTATAGAATTTTCGTATCTAAAATGGCACAGAAAAATAAGTACATATTAATGTCATATTTCTTCTCACAAATATGTGGAGAAATCAAGTTTCCCAACGGCAAAAGGACTAACTTCCTGGCGCAGCGTAATTTTTGTTTTGCTTTTTACATATATTTTTTTTCTTTTTTAATTTAATTTTTCAGACTTTTTATTTTTAAGCAAGGAATTATATTTTTTAATTTATTTAATTTTTAGAAACTTATTTTATGTATCTATTTTTTAATTTTTATTTAATTTTTTTTAATGGTTTGGTGGTTATTGGTTTAAAAAGAATATTTTTTAGTTTGATTTATTTTTAAGAGTTTAATTTTTTTTCGTGTATATATTTTTTAGTTTTTTATTTAAATTTTTCGATTGTATTGTTTAAAATTAGTTGTTTTTTTTTTATTTCATTTCCTTTTTAGGAATTTATTTTATTTATTTT